CCATTTAATAAATTCCTTCATACAAATAAATATAATAAATCATCCAATGATTAATCACATTTAAAATATGCTTTAGCAACTCAAGAAATACTTTAAAACTTTGTTATATTCAAGCCACTTGCAAATTATCACCTACCATCCACCTTGATCCTTAAAGAATTACTCTCAAAAGGTTCAAGACACATCCTTCAATAGTCATGCAATGTCAGGCCTTGAAATATAAGAGCGACTGACATGAAATATGTGCATAAACACATATTTTTTGAGCCTTAATTCAAGAATTTTTTTTAATATTTATATTTATTTATATTGAAATTAGGAAATCTTGAATAATTGTATTTAAACAAAAGCCTTAATATTTTTGTAAAAATTTCGAAAGCACCTCCCTTATAAGTATGACTTTTCAAAAATTCTACAACACAATTTTTACAAGAAAAATATCACTAAAATCAGGAGCACAACTCCATCCAGCTAGCAGACAGAGTGCATAACCAAATAGGGACCCTGAAATAGTCTATGTGGAGTATCGAACCATATTTTCAAAACATAATACATAAATTTCATAATTACATCAAAAAGAGATATTTACAAAACAAATGTCCACCTTGCTCAACAAAAAGTTTTTCAATAGTCAATAAGACATATAACGTCTGCTATACTACCTGAGACCAATAATAAATTTTCAATAAATAATGTCCCAACATAAATTTCAATAAAGTAAAGGGAGGAAATGTTTATAAAACAATTTTGAGTTCTACAAAAATAACCATTACAATGAAAACACGGTGTGGTATAAACAACCTTATATAAACATATAAATCAAACAGATACCTAGTCGATTAGAGATAATAAAGAAACTACCAAGTTATAACCTCTGCTTTACAATTGAGTTATATAATTTTACCTTATAAAATCATTTACGATCAAATAACAATCTATTTAATAGAAAAAGAAATTAAAAACAATAAATTTTTAAAAATTCACATTTCAATGGGACTTCATCAAAACGATTGGTAAGCTTGGACACAAAGTTCATAAGGATAAATAATAACAAATGTAGACACACAATTTACAAGAGTAAGTAACCAAGCATAGCTAGAAGTTATGAAATAATCAAGCACAGCTAGAAGCCAAGAAACAAGCACAAGCACAAGACTACGAAAACAAGTATGACTATAATGCTCATGAATTATCATCCCTCCATTTCACGTGTGTTGGCTATCACACAAGGCTAGCATCTCCTAAGCACCCTACTAGCTAAGTGTACAATGAAATGCCAAGGGCTTACAGTATTACTATTAGCAACTGGCATTCTAATTTAATCCCACACTTTAAATCAAGTGTGTGTGGGCCGATAAAATCAATATATTATCTTTTTTCAACATGTTCAATATAACAAATACTTTTAGATGTTTAATTGAAAGATAAATCTCAACTATTTCTATAAAATATAATATAATAAATTATAATATAATAAAAACATTTCCACACATGACAATTGAAAATAAAATTAAGATTATGAACAATAAAAATAAATAAATACATTAATAAATTAAAATACTATATCATTTATTCTTTCGAAATAGAAATGGTTATGTAAATAAGAGAGAGGGCACATGAATATGCTAAACCAATATTTTTATAAAAAATGAATTTACCCATAAATCATTGAGACGCTATTCACTTACTTAAAATATTCTCAAATACATAAATTACTCCTAATCAGTTGCTTTTATAATATCGTCTACTTCTTAATTCCCTAGCACCTAAGTGCTATCATTGTTATTTCTTTTATACATTTCGCAAATCCAAAATCTTCAATTCAAGATAATTTTAAAGCAATAAAAAGAAAAATCTCTAATTTGTCACCATTTACAACAAAAATACATGCTAAGTTTAGTCAATAAACGTCTTGAATACCTATATAAATCATATTCAAAATTTTCAAGTCTTAAAAAAAAATAAATAACTTTTACTATGACTTGTTCCACTTGCCTCGACCTCATTTTTTTTAATAATCCTTTTCATCAAGTACTTTATTTGCGTCCCAAAAGTTACCATAAGAATAAACAAACAAGATCTTTGAATTATCAATCAAATATCTTTTTCAAAATTCCTTAATTTTATCCTTTAAAATTCTTTTTAAATCTCTCTTCTTCCAAATCCTATAAAATTTCTTTATAAATTTTATTGGTGTTTGTTCAAATCAAACAATTTCCCATTTAACATTTATATAATCAAAAATAACTTAAGCAACTCAGAGTTCCCTAATTCGCTTTTTCTCTATATTATTTTAACCATAGGTATTTACTCTATTGCATTATAACCTCCCTTTACGCCTCACGTCAAACACTTTATGCGCATCATTTCCAAGCCATTTAATGGAGTTTCTTACCTCCAATTACCAGCCCAATAATTCTCAGCATCAACATTTAAATTTATCATATATATATATATATATATATTTTGCTCATCCCCCCAAGAATTAATTAAAGCTCAAATAAAATTCAAACCTAAATTCATTTTCCTCCTCTTACACTAATTAACCAAAGTAATCAAGTGAACTTTCTTAAAACATACATCTCATCTGGTTTTGGATCCCAACCTCTACCCATTCACGCACAGCAATTTAACATAGAAAGAAATTCATAATTTCAGCCACCCATCATTCATGCTCGCACAAATTCGATGAGGAAGAGAAGAGAGGTGGAAATTTCCTCATCTATGGGCATTCCACATCAGATCAGTGGCAGCAAACCAGGAAGAAAGAGAAGAGAATGCTGTCATGCGAAAATGGGGAGGGAAGAAGATATCATGGTGAAACAGGGGAGGACAGAAATCATAAATCGATCTTCCAACAGCGTCCAACTATCTCTTGCACTCGCTGGTAACACTCACACACCAGCCACCAAAAGGAAGATGACGGAAGAAGAAGAAGAAAGAACAAAGGAGATGATGCAGCAGGGATGACGAGTGAAAAAGATAAAATCTGGCGCACCTTCGATTTCCAGCGACGGCAAAAAGAGGCGCACCCACGATCACCGACCAACGGATAGAGAGGCAAGAGGAACAACGAAGGGCTCTGGCTCTCTCTCTCTCTCTCACGACTTCTAGAGAAATCCCAAAAAAACAATGGTAGAGGAGAAGTGTATTAGTTGAGTGAACCCAAAATTTTTGACTCCAACTCTCTGTTCTTGTGTACTGTTTTTTTTTTTTTTTTTGCAGGGCAAACATGTAATTTCGTCTACATTAAGCATGAGGACCATGAAGATTTAGCATGAGGACCAAGAGGAAATCCATTGTACCACTAGCACATTTTGTTAATCTCCCCCTAACAATTAAAGAAATATCATGAATTTATTTTATTATTTATTCCAAGTTTATAAATTTATTATGGGATATTACATGCAATATTCACACACTCGTTTATTTATCTGCGTATAATAATACAAAACAAGTGACCCAAACAGTAAATTTATAAGGTTTAGCTAATGTGAACAAAATTTTTTACTCAAACATTCTAACAAACACTTTATATGCGAGACAAAATAAGCTAATATAATAAGCTTCTTACATTTTCAATCCTTTATTCAAGCCTTTATATAGAGCAATAAATCTTCACATGGTTTACTAATTCTTAAATTCATTCTCCAAATTAAATCCTTCAATTTATTGACATAATTTAAATTTGAAAGAGGAAAAAAAAAAAAAGCAATCAAAACTAATAGAAGCTCTTCCCCTAGCTAATCAAAACTCTACTTCACTATTTTTATTTTTCCTCCAATCATGACAAAGAAGCAAAGAAAAGGAAGAAACAACAGTGAACACATGCAACCACGCTGACGCAATGAGTAGGATAAGAAGCCATGAATTTATTTTTCCTCCACTATTTTTATTGTTCAAGGAATATTTAAACCCAAAACCTTATAGTAGGTCGCACATAAGATTCCCACCAAATTATAAATCCCTCTCATTTCATTTACTCCCAAAACTTTAAGAGTTAAAGTGTATTTTTATCCTTAAACTTTTTTTCGATGAGCGCTGGATACTTTGTACTAATAAGTGGAGCAATTTTACCCCTACTTTATTTCTTTTAGGACCAAAAAACCCCCCATTACTAAAAAATTAAATTTAGCGAGAGACAAATAGCTCGCTAAATTCGTAGCTAAAAAAAAGTAAATTTAGCGAGAAACTCATTCCTCACTATTTGGTGAGCGATCTAGCAAGCGATGCAGTCCTTCACTAAATTTAATGAGGACCACAATCCCTTGCTAATCCTCTTCAAATATTAGTCATTGTAACGACAAAAATAGGGATATAGGTCCTCACTAAATTTAACAAGGCATGCAATCCCTCTCTAATTCCCTCATCAAATTTGTGAAGATATATGAATCCCTTTCTAATTAGCAAGTCATTTTTTTGCTGAGAATCTAGCGAGGGATGAAATCCTCTAAAATATAATTTAACAAGGAAAAATAAAAATTAGTAAGGGATTTAACCCTCGCTAAATTTTCAACATTTTGATTCCTATACAACAACACAACTAATCCTCCATTGAACTTTCTAATCACAATTCCATAATCACGTTAATATAACAAAAAATCAATGCTACATCAATTATATTATAAAATTCAAACTAATTCATACATAAGAGAATTGATCAAAATATAAAGGAGTAAACAAAAAGTTCAAAGCACTTCACACAAACATTTTTGGACAATCATTGCCACGTTCCAAAAATATAAAGTGTGACAGGCATGAGATATGTGTAAAAACTCACATTCCATAAACCTTGACTTAAGAAACTTTAAATTTCAAACCATAAACACATTTAATATAGTAATAAGTTTATATTATTTATTCATTTATTTATTTCAATATTCTTCATGCAAACAAAATTTATAATTTTATATAGAATTTTAACAAACTCTCTCCTAAAAAAGAGACTTTTCAAAATTTATCAACAATAAAAAACTATATTTCAAACAAAAGAGCTCCGCTCCTTGCTAATAATTATGTGATCTGATAAGAAAGATAAGAATCCTATCTATAGCCAATGTGAAACACTTAAACCAAACCATTTAATTAATACAGAGTTCAATTTACATCAAATGAGATTTGTCTAAAATAATTCTTCCACTCCCCTTTCAATGATAAAATGCCTCAATGAACATCTTAAGATAAAAGTTGATCCATATCATCTATGATCAAAAATATTTTTTCAGTGAATTATACCCTAAATTTAAAATTTAATAAAATAAAAGAAAGAAATGTAAATGTAATAGGCATACATTTAACTAAAATTGTCATTTAGAATATCAAAATGGAAAACTCAAACATCATTTAATTACTTGACCAAAAACATCTTAATATAATGATAACACAATAACCCAAAAATCCAATCATTATAAAGAAATTCACTTTCTATTTATCAAGCTCATGTTAAAAATAGTTAGGAGATGCTTTATCATTATAAAGAAAATCAGTCCTAAAAACCAGCTTGCTTTATAGGATTAGTGTAATAACAAGAAATTTAAAAATTTATTTAGTAAAACTTTATCAGAATAGATAACAAGCGTAGACATACAATCCACAAGAACAAATAACCAATCGAATGTGGACACACAGTCCATAAGAATAAGTAACTAGTCACGCGACTAGAAGCCACAAAACAAGCATGGTAGGAGCTATGAAACAAGCGTGAATATAATGCTCATGAATATCTATCCTTCCGTTCCACGTGCATTGGCCTGCGCATGGGGCTGTCGCCTACTATAAATACTTTACTAGCTAGGTGTACCATAATACATCAAAGGCTAACAAAACTATCATTAGCAACCAACGTTCTGATTCGGTTCCACACTTTAAATCAAGCATGCATGAGTTATAATAACACATCATTCCTTAAACTGCAAAATCAAACATTGCCAATGTATTAAATAATGGTAGATATTCAAACATAAAATAATTCTAACTGTTCTTATAAAACTTTGTACAATAGAAATATTTTTTTTATTCATGACAGTTGATAACGAAATTTAAAATGTAACAATATAAATAGTCATGAATGTATTTAAAAATTATTGTGAAAAATAAATTTACTACTAAGTCATTTGAGATGTTATTCACTTACCTAATACATTTTAAAATATATAACTTACTCTTAATTAACCATTTTTGTAATGTAGTCCGCGCCTTAATTCCCTAATGCCCAAAGAAAAATTTTTGTTATCTCCTTTATGCACTTTATAAATCCAAAATTTTCAATCCAAAAAAATTTAAAGAAATGGAAAAGAGAGTCTCAACATCAATCATTCAAAGATAAGAAACCATGTTGAGGATAATAAATGACAAATGTATATACAAATAATATTCAAACTTTTCAAGTCTTCCTATAGAAATCAAACAACTTATACTATAATTTAATCAATGTTACCACTCATGTATATTCAATTTTCATAAACTTCCCTCTCCATATATCTTATCAAACACTTTATACAAACTCAAAAACTAACATAAGAACATGCAAATTTGGTCCTTGAATTAATAATCAAATATCTTTATTCAAAACTTTCTAACTTCATTTCCGGCTTTGCATTATTGGGAATAATTACCTACTATGACAATTTACTTGACAGTAACACATTTTACATTCATTTGCTACAATAGCTAACAAACTCCTATCAAACATTTCATCAAACACTTTGCATGCATTCAAAATCAAACCATACAACAATCAATTTATTCGTTAGTTACAATTCCCAACAATTTTCCAATCATCCATAATTAAATTCATCATACTTTTCAAATTCAAATCTTTGACAAAAAACAAAAAAAAAAATCAATTTAAATCTTAAAAAGAACATCTAAATCAATTTCCTTCCTATGTAACCAAAGTACTTAAGGCATCATTACTTATTTAGAGTTAGCTTCCAAGTTTTCATTTTAAGTTTGATTGACACTAATCTCTTATTTGCACGCACAGTAGCTGATCCAGGAGGAAAAATAAAAATTCCAGCAGCTGAACAAATCTCAAAATTCACGCAAAACTAAAGCAAGGGAGAGAGCATAAAGTTTAAGTCACCAAGAAGCAATGAAGGAAATGGAATGGAGGATTTCACCAAGAAGCACGGAATGAAAATGGGAAGAGGGAGAGGAAAAAATCTGATATGTTGTGCGTCTTTTTTTTTCAAAGGGCGTTTTAGTAATTTTACAGTGCTAAATAAAAATAAATTATTTTCTATTACACAAGTAGGGATTCAAACTCGGAACAAGTAAATAAATAGCAGCCATAACTTCCCCTAAGCCACCAGTTGTTTACCTTATTTGCTCCACAATTATATGTAAGAAAAATATAACCAAAATATATTATCACAAATCTGCCCTGTTTTTTTGTAGTTATTAATTTATTTGATCAATTAATTTCTTCTTCTTTTTAAATATTCTTAAATTTCCTCATCATTACAATCATGATTAGAATTTGTTGCCTAGAGAAATCTTGTTGCCACCATGTGAACTACCCAGCACTGCAATCTTTGATGGATTGGCAAGTCCTAAGTTAATGATAGTCATCTCATAGTGACCTTGAGGTCACAAAAGCTTTGCTTCTTCAAGCTATCATAAAGAAACTAAATACTCAGATACAATTAGAAAAACAAATTAATACATTAATATATGATATAAGGTTAAAATATCTTACTGACATGCTGCAAAATTCATTATTCAATTAGGTTTCATTATTATTTTTTTGAGTGGCGTGCATTTTTTTTTATAAATTTTATCTTTTTGTACCGGTGAAGCTTGAAGCTTCTCTAGTTACAATAATATAATTGTTGACTCTACTTTTGAGCAAATTATCAACAAGAATAGAAAGGATACAAGCATATATAAGTTATAATATGACCTTGATGGTGCGGGCTGGCTTTGGAGATTGACCTTGATGGTGTAAAATGGGTGTCCACATATCAATTGTGCTGCCCCTCCAACAGTTGTTGCAGTGAGATCCTAAGCCACTTCCCCAATCTGCAAAATGAAGAGGAAAAAAAAGAATTGAAACAATGTAATAATATGAGTTCAAATTACCATATGATAAATTTAGGGTCCTTGAGAAACCATATTGAGCAAACTAAGAATGTGGATTCTGACATTAATAATATTACAAGTCATTCAACCTAATAAAAATTCAGTAATGGAAAGGCTGACAAATAAAAAAATTTCTGTCGGGCAATTGAGAGATGGATTAAACGAGCATCTAAAAGTATGACAAGATTCTAAGTCAACAACTTAATACATCTATATTCCCTAGAGAAGCAATGTTGGATTAATTGTTACTGTTCTAGCGGCTCAAATCTACTCTGTATTCCTTTGTTCTTCAACCATCAAGAAACTGAACCCAGCAGTAATACATTGAAGCAACTTAAGAGTAACACAATGGCAACAGCAGAACGAAACTGTTCAACCCAGCTATGTGCTACCTTTTCATTCAAGTTCCAAATAGAAAGGAAATGAGTTCAAAAGTGAGAGTGCATTGAAAAATCAGAGTGCAAAAATAACACAATCATGATAATGCTTCGACAGTACAAGGAATTTATAGCATAAATTGCAATTATAAACAAAAAAACCTTTACGAAGACTCATATAATCAACGAAAAGGTTTTCATTGTTCTTGATCATAAACATTGATTGATCCTTTGTATATCACGTTTCTTGTTCACTACATACATAATTTTCAATGGCAATGCAGCATTCTTATACAAACTAAGGTATGTGCAAAAGGAAAATCAGAAAGCACATTTAACCTCAGTAAAATTAGATAACAACTTCTGGCATTGTAAAAATGAGAACTAGATCAAATTCTAAAGATACATGCAAAAACTTTTAGATTGCCAGGTAAAGTTAAATGAGCAGAATTTTCATCATGGAAGTTAAAAGCGCATTGTTGGTGGAAAAGTTCTCACTGTTGAAGTTGAGCAGAAAACCGTGCAACTTTCAATTTACACTGGTTGGCAAAGTTTGTTCCGCATGTTCAAAAAATGCAGCAGCCCTATCAAAATATAAATATGCGTCCTTGATAATAGACACTTAGATTATTACAAAATTAAAAATAAAAAAGAGAGGAGATTTATAACAGGCACGAAAAAAAAATTAGAACAGGGCACAAACCAAAACAAGGTTCTACAGTTCATGGTTTCACTGAATTAGAACAAGGCACGAAAAAATTAGGGCAAAGATTAGAACTACTTCAGCAAAAAAAAAAAAATAGAACAGAAGGCAAAAATCAGAGCTGCCTTCAGCAAAAGAAAAGAACAAAATGAACAAGGAAGAATCAGTAGGCATTCACGAATCAGAAGTCAAAACTAGCAAAAAAATCAACAAAAAATCAAAACACCATAGACGAAGCTGAATATACCTTGAGAGCAAAGATCGAAGAGGAAAGGTGAAGACGATGACGAAGATGAAGAGTTGAAGACGTCTTGGATGGAGAGTTGAAGACGGCCAAGATGAAGTGTTGAAGACGGCGAATTGAGTGAAGATTGAAGGGGAAGGCGATGGTGAAGCCGCGAAGGCGAAGGAGAAGGTGAACTGAGGGAAGACCAGAGAAGGGAGGGATTGAGTGACTGAACTGTGCGCGTGCAGCTAGGATTCATGGCTCAGGCTTTGTTTGGTTAAAATGAAAGAGAAGGGAGAGAAGGGGAGGGGAGGGAATAGAGGAGAGAGAGACATCCTCCCAAGTTAGAGAGAAATTTTGAGAGAAAGAGAAAAAAAAATTTAAAAAAATTTAAAAAAAATTAAAGGAAAACTCTTTAAAAAAGATTTTTTAAAATTTTTTCTTTCTCTCCTTCAATCAAACAGGCCCTTAAAGTTTTTTCTCAAGGAGTGTTTGGATGAAAGGGAGGGGAGAGGAGGGGCGCTCCCCTCATTTGGTTAAGAGGAGGGGAGCTCCTCCCTTCCCCTCTCCTCATTTGGTTAGGAGGAGGGGAGGGAAAATTTTTAAAATTTTCCCTCCCCTCCCCTCCAAAACCTCCCCTCTAAATTGGAGGGAGCTCCCTTCCCCCTCCCCCCTCCCCCCCTTTCCCTCACCTCTCCTCCCCTTCCTTTGAACCAAACAAGTCCTTAATTCAGATATGAATTATTTCATTTTTATTCCCCTTAACACAACATCATTTAATTAAAAAAATAAAAAAACTTATATACTTAATTTTATATTTGTTTTTAATTAAATTAAGATATGTGCATCTTATATATATTATTTATTCTACAATAAATTTTTATTATTAATTTTATTAACATATTAAAATCTAATTATCATGATTTAATTGGATATAAGTATATAAATCTTACCCTAAATATAAACACCTTGGGTTGCATTGAAAAAATAAAATTTTATGTTAAGAAAATATAATTCTTTTAATAAATAGGAGTAAAAAATGCATAAAAATATCTCATTATTTACCTTGCTAATTATATATTATTAGAGGGTATAAAATTGGCTTTCTAATTTCCTTACTAAATATATACTTTTAGAAAGGTATAAATTTTTCTTGTTAATTTTCTCACTAATTATTTTATTTTAGAGAAGTATAAAACAAATCTCATTAAATTTCTCACCAATCTTCTCATTTTAGAGAGGAATAAATATTTTTCATTAATTATTTTATTTTAGAGAGGAATTGATAGTTTTTCATTATTTTTCTCACTAACTATTTTGTTTTAGAGAGGAATAAATATGAAAAAATAAAAATAAAAACCCTTCAAATTATATAAATGATAATTTAATCCCCTAAAAATGTCATAATACTAATAAAGTCTCCAGGGATCTCTTTGTCAATAACTTATTTAGGAAAAATATCATTTTACCTTTATTGAAAAATTGTGATTTCTTATTTAATTCTTACGATTCTTTGAAAAAAAGTTGTGACTCTTTAAATAAAAGTTGTGAATGAAGTTTATTATTTTGAAGACCTGTTTTTCAATAATAAAAATTACACTCTACAAAGTGTAATTTTTTTATTTAACTCTTGTGATTTATAGAATAAAAGTTATTATTTCTTAAATATAAGTTGTGATTAGGGCTTTTTTTCAATAACATAAATTATATTTGATAAGTTGTAATTTCTTATTCAACTCTTACAATTTACAAAACAAAAGTTATGATTTGGTAAACAAAAGTTGTGATTGAGAATTGCTATTTTCAATAAGGGTAAAATGATTTTTTTCCTAATAAAGTTATTGACAAAGAAGTCCTCATGGATTTTATTAGTGTCATGGCATTTTAAGAGATCAAATTGTCATTTATATAATTTGATGGGATTTTATTTTCATTTTCCCAATAAATATCCATCACTATATTCCTCACTAATTATCTTATTTTAGAGAGGACTTGACAATTCTTCTCTATTTTTTTGCCAATTATTTTATTTTAGAGAGGAATAAATGTTTGTCAATATTTTTCTGGCTAATTATCTTATTTTAAAAAGGACTTAATAGTCTCTTGTTATTTTCCTCACTAATTATTTAATTTTAGGAAAGAGTTGGCAATCCCTCGCTAATTTTAAGCTGTGCCACAGAATTATGATTTCTCATTAATTTCCTCACCAAGTTGGCATTTTATAGAAGAATGGATAATGTCTCGTTAAATTTCCTAGTTAATTTGTATTTTTCTAGTAGTGCACCTTCTGCTAGTCAATTGTTAATTTTTTCATTTTTTACTAATGTGGCATGTACATAGGGCACTCACAAAGACAGATAAAACTCTAGTCATATTCTTTGATGCTAATTTGCCTTTAAACTCTTTTTTTCAAGAACACTGAACACCCTAAAGCCTTTTTCTATAAGCTTTAGGCACCCTGAAGTCTTGCTAAAATAAAATTTAATAAATATTGTCAAAATATTAAGTATTTTAACATTTAACAAATTAATATTTTTATAAATGATAATATTTAAAATATTAACTATTAAAATACTTAATATTTTAATAATATTTATTAAATTTTATTTTAACAAGACTTCAAAACGTCAAATACACCTAGAAAAAGATTTTAGGGGCAAACTAGCATCAAAGGATATGATCAGAGTCTTATTTATCACTATGTGTGGGCTCCATGCACATGCCACATTAGTAAAAAATAGAAAAATTAATAGCCGACTAACATATGGGGTTTTTTGCTCCTCAAAAAAAAAAAGTTCAAAAGTAAAATTATCTCATTTAACAGTACAAGGTGTCTAGCACTGTTCAAAAAAATGTACTTTAATCCAAAGTGTAAATAAAATACAATTAAAATTTTTATCATAAATTTTAATTCTAATAAAATTCCTAGGTTATTACAATTTGAGTCAAAATACCAAGAAAAAAAATTATTTCATGTTAAATTTTCTGAATTTACACCAAGATCTCTTTTCTTAAATAAAATTTATTGCATTGTTTGAAATTCTTGAATTTTCTAGTCATTACAAGCTGCTAGGCGTCCAAGGGGAGTTTAGAAGTGAACAAAAAGTTGAGACTTGGAATTGGTACGGGAATAATGATTTTTAACTAAAATTGCTTTGATTAAGGTTTTATTCTCCCTTTCCTCATCATTATTTTGATGTATAAATTGTTGAGATTTGTTGTTGTGAGAGCTATATGTAGTTGAATTCTTCTTAACCTAGAGGAATTATAAACTTGTTGGTGGATTAGATTTTATTTTTACTAAAAAATTATGCTTAATGTTGATTATTTTGTTTATTGATTTGATTGTATGTTTGATGTTTGACTACCATTAGACATGAATTTAGGTATATTGGGATTTTTACTTGATAAAGGAGAATCTCAACTTGACTATTTGATTGAATAATATTAGATTAGATTATTGTCTAATTTGCAATTAGGATTGGCATATATTTAAGTGCCCCATATAATCTCTATGCAATGAGATAGAATTTGATTTGCTTCTTAAGTAATTTTATTAGAAATAACATCATTAACTTGAGTGAGGGCTATCGGTGGATCTAAAGATATTTGTAGCTACCAATACTCTAGATTAACAAAATCAACAATGAAATTAATTAATTATGTTAAAGCAAAGACATAAAACAAATAAGGGATTAGTGACTCTCTAAATTGCCTTCAACAACACAAGTGGTTGTTGGTTTAAGAAATTTATTTCATTTTTGTTTATTATATTTTCTTTTTCTTGTTTGTTTTCTAAAGTATTCTTACAGTTAGCAATCATAAAATTAATCCCTCAAAAAATTTAAGTGTCATTCAAGGAATTGTCCTTTTTCAAGTGATACTCTCCATACACACCTCCATGAATCAAGCCATGAAATGATGTTTAAGGAGCATGCAAATTCAATTTTCTTGTATTCAATCAATTTATATTTATCTTGCTCAATGTAAGCAACAACAACAAAAAAGGGAACTCCAGTGCCTAATCACCCTTTTATTTTATTTTTCGTGGGATTAACGTTGACACACTGTTATGTTGCATTTTTTTGACCTATATACTTGTAGTAATCACATTTTGTGTGCATCATTTTTTTTAATATATATAATTATGTTAAGATGTAAATTTTAAGTTGTATGAATTGACATGCATTATATAGGTATAAATTATTTTAAATTTTTTCAGAAAACAAAAAAAGTTAAATGGATTGATGAATTGGCCCAATTAGCTCAACATCCCATATGATTTGGGTTAGTTTGAAATTTTTTCAACTCGTATAAAATTAAGTTGAACCTAACTCAACCCATTTTTCCCAACCCACTCATGACTTCAAATATTTTGCTAATTTTATTAAGGTTTTTAATCATCCAGTTGATTTTTATAAAAAAAATTATTAAATTTCTCAATATTAATTATGAGGAAGGAGATTGATATGTTTCATGGTGATCTTAAAAAGCTAACGGATCAAATATGACATTAAACCTAGATTTTATGTTTGTAGGGAGGCTCAATTTATAGGCCAAAAGCTGAAAGATTTGAAGCCAAAAACCAAAGTAATTTTTGCAGAGTGTTGCCACAGCAAGGTGTATGTAGTTGCGACAAAGTCTATTTTATGCAAAATGCACAGCTTCACTGCACAGACACATTTTTTGGGTTTGAGGGGGCATATCATGAACTAGTTCGACTCTTGGCAGCATCTGAACGCCTAGGGAGGAGTGTGGAAGCAATGGAGGAGGTCTAGGAAGCTTGGGATATGCGTGGGAGATCACTGATTTGCTCCATTTATCATCTTCTTCTACCTATTTCCTTTAGTTTGATGTATTTAATGTTGGATTTGGTTATTGTTTGACCCATGAGTTGCTAGTTTCTTCTTGACTTAGAGTATCAATGAACTTATTTGTATATTAGAGATTGTTTCTACAGTTTAATTGTTCTTAATCTGAATTTAGTTTACTTAATCTTGTTTATTTGTGACTTGCTTATTGATTGGCCACCATTAGGCATGATTTGGGAATTTTGGGTTGAACTTGATAAAGGGAATCCTAAATTGACCTTGAGATTAATTAATGTGGAATTAGATCATAATCTACTTTGCATCTGGGATAGACATATCCATAGAGGCTATTCAAGTTAGAGTGAAATTTGGGCTGGATTGCACCTTGGATGATCATTGTGTGAGAAATTGCATAATTAATTGAGGTAGGGTTATAATTGGATTGAAAAACCATCATAGCTATTGAGAGTTGTGACTCTAAAATCTAGTTT